CCAATCTTCACCAAACAGACCTGGCCTATTTGCCAGGTGACTACCCTTTTTGATTCTCATAGTTCCCCTCTTCTCACTCTACAATAGGAATTTTTAAGCCCTGGTTCTGCCGGGGTTCACAGACTCAGGTTTGTGAACCGAAGTTTGGTGCTTGGTTATATGTAATTTTCTAGTGATTAAGTCCACAGCTTTGTAGCAGGTGCTCGAGGCACTGTCTTCCCCAAAGGCTAATAACCACTTCTCTATTGTGGTCTTCAAAGGTGATACTGAAAATTTACTTTTAAACACTCTAACATATTACCACATGCATGTGAAGAACAATTATTTTCTTAAGTGACTTTCAAAACAACTGTACAAAGTAGGTATGACAAGTTCCACTTTACAGATTAGGAAACTGAGGCAGAGAGAGGCTAAGTGACTTAGCGAAGGACACAGTGACTTAGCGAATTGCCACCCACTTGCTGGCAATTCTCAAAGCTACATCTCCAGCCCCTGTCTCCAAGCTCTAGACGCACGGCGCTGAGTCCCCTGCGTGGAAGCTGCCTGGGTTAACCCGCTGAACATTTCGGACACTGAACTTTTACCTTCCTCCCTAACCTAGTTCTCCTGCAGTCATCAGTTTCATTATTTCCTTTTCTCTCTTATGATCAATCTTCAATGCTCTGAATTTAAATCCATATTATTGCTGCTTCAGGTTCTAGTGAAGCTTCACCTGGAGCATGACACAAAGCCCTTCCTGCCCCACGGCTCCGATGAGAGCCCCGTGTGGGGACAGAGCAGATGGGGGAAGGTCTTCCAGGACCTCTGCCCGCTCTACAGCCCTCTCCAGCTTCTCCCTCCCCACCGCTCAGTGCCACTGAGTTACGTGGTGCCCACCAAGTTCCCCGCTATTTCCCATTCGTGCCTATGCTCCTGCGCCCCAGCCGAGTCCTGTCATGAAGTTGCTGGCCCTGCCCTGTGCCCACACAAGCTGCTGCTGGAATGGCTGCGGAAGGGAAGAATGAAGGTGACTGCGAGGGGTTGGCCTCAGTAAGGAGGGTGGTTGTCAGTCTTTGAGAATGAAAGACAGTGGCAATATAGGCAAAGAGAACAGTCTTGCCATGGGCACACGGAGTTCAAATGGCATTAGATTCCCAAGAGACGTGGCTGATCAGGCATTTGGCTACTGAGACAGGAATTCAGGACCAGACTAGAGATCCATGCCAGCATGCAGATATCTGAAGTCCTGAGGCCAAGTCAGAGACCCTCGGGGCTGAACGAGGCGAGAAAAGAGGTCAAGCCTGGGTCCTGTGCAGGAACAATGTGCTCACATGTCTGTCTGCTCACGCAGGTGAGACTGGCCCAGTGTCCTGGCTCTGCTCAGGTCACCCTTCCTTTCAAGCTTTGAGGAATGAAAGCACGTTGGGCACAGCCGGCGAGTGGACGGAGCAGCTGAAACAGGTGATGTTCAACGGAGGTCACCACCGGGAGACTCACAGGACTCGCACCAGCCGTGCACGTAAACGAGGAGGCGCGGGTGTGAGGACTGGGGTGGACAATGGAAAGTGTGTGCCCTGGCATAGGGGCGCCATGATCCAACTGGGTGGTGGCTGCCATGCATGAAGCTGGTCCGGAGTGGACAATTTTCTGACTCTAACAGACCCTGGAAATCTGGACTTTAGATGTAAAATCTCATGTTAGCCAACATTCTGTAGGTTAAGTGAAATTTTTCCTGAACCTGTTGATTATCCTACTGGCCCCAGCAGTTCACACCATCTTATAGGTGAGGGAAAGGGGCCTTCCTTACCTGTCAGCACGGGGGCAGCATTCACAGGCAGCAATTTCTCCTCTAGGCTTTGGGCTCAAGTTGAGGCTACCTTTTTGCTTGGACAGAAATGCCCAAAAATTGCAACCATGAGGACTTGCCCATAAAAATGGTTAGGTTTTTCCTCCTTTAACTTGATTGTTTAATGGATCAGTTTTCCCATCTGGAAAATGGGAATAATCATCTTAGTGCAAATTAAATAACCCATATAATTATCTCACAATGTTATGCTGAGAGTCAAATGAGATAATAATCTATGTTTAGTGACATGGAAGCTTTAAAGAGAGTAAAGTGTTATTGCCCCAGAGATTAATCCAGGACAAGGCACACACAGCTGGCTTAATTTAATGATCTCAGCCAACTTCACATCAAACAACAGCCCACTCCCCAGAACGTAATTTAAAACTCTTACTAATTCTTAGAATCAAGAGTTCCACAGAAGGTGCTGGCTAATGGACATTTAAACACATCTCTCTTCAGTGAACAGGATATGGCATCACAACTGTATGACTTTGACAGAAAAACCTAAGAGAAACTCCATGTCTTGAACAAAGTTATACAATTAGTGCAGAAGAAACCTTAAGTCCCAGGGTACACAGCATAAAATTGAAATTTTACAATCAAGTTTTACAAGTAATTCATTAAGAAAATGCCACTGGTGGAATCAAAGGTGGTTCCATGCCGGTGAGAATTCTCTATTGTATCACATGTTCACAGTGTGGGGAGGTTTAACTGTGTTATTTAAAGACCGACCCTGCTCTTACCCCCGGAAAAAACTGTTGTATGTTCCTTTCAGAATATTTGAAAAATACAGAAAAAAAAATCCCGACTGACTGCAGTAACCAGAGAAGTATACTGCATATATCTTCCAGATAGAAGCGTGCAAACACATGTGTGTACAAGCACACACTGGTATATGTATTATGTGTATATATGTTGTAAATGTATACTTGTAGCAAAAATGGGATCAAAGTGTTACTAACTATCCTTCAGAAGTAGAATTTCAATGACTTCTATAATTAGTGTCTTATTTTTCCACTGTATTCTGCAACCTCGTAGAAAAACCCTTGGTATGGGCCGTTTGATCAGTTTTCACCTAATGGTAGCAGTATCTTATCTGTTTATGAATTTATCTGTGAAAGTAACAGTGGGAACATTCTGACAAGGACAGAGAGATTTCAGACTCTGAAATAGCTGCACATCTTTATAGTGATTTGTTTAACTAATGAGCCATAGTTAATATCTCAGGACCTAATTGCAAATTGGATCTTTGGCTTGAATGTATGGATCAAACTGTCACTATAATAGCTGTAAAGTAATTAAAATGGTGGAACCAAGTGGTGCACTTAGCAGTAAACATCCATCACAACTAATTTAAGGAGAAGTGACGCAATGCACTTCATAAAGCTTTGCTAGCTGTCCTAAATGCTATTTATTCTCTGAGGCTCATTTAATCTTAAAATTGTATCTGGGCAACCTAGTAATAAATACTTGCACTCCTACATGATTACATGTTTTCCTGCAATTCCAGTTACTATAGTATGTCATTCTATGGTATTTTGTTATTAATGAAAAGTTAAAACAATGTAAAAGTGTGGTTAAAAAAACCAGACATGATGATGCTTGCAAGCTCAGTATTTAGTACTGTTAAAGTTGCTAGCGTATTTTTGGTTGTTGTACATTGCAAGAAATATTTGTTGTTTCATTTTCCTGCCACTGTTTTCTTCGAATACTTCAGAAAAGATTGCTTGAGTATGTTTTGCAATCACGAATAGATTTCATGAAATATTGGGGGTTTGGGGTTGGTGCAGGTTTTATTTTTATAATAGGGTCTCAGGCAGAGCAAACATTAAGTGGCACCTCTTCACCTCAGACAGAGTTGAGACTGTTGTCAGGGAATCACAGTAATGCTGACTGCAGGATGCTCACATCCCTCCCTTCCTGTTTCTACTCCTTTAATTTTTTTCTTTTCTTTCTTTCCCTTTCTTCCTTTATTTCTCCATTTTTCTTTTTGGAGACAAACATAAGGTAGTAACACAGATGCTGTACACCTGAAGCCTTTATAATGCTAGAAACAAATGTTACTGCGACCCGATGGGATCCCAGGAGCACAGGCGTGGTGTGATAACTAGGAGACCTGAGACCTATTACCTATGCATACTTAGTTATGGCCACGTGGAACTTGTTTTAATTTATTATTTTCTTATTGAGGCAATATTGGTTTGCGATACTGTATGTGATTTAGAGGTACAGGTTCATACCTCCTCACCACACCTCTACCACGGCACCCATCATCCTCCACCAGGACTCACTGAGCCCCTTCCTTGCTTTGCTTCCTCCCGCTTCCTCTCTGGTAGCTTCAATTCTACAGTCAGATTTCTACTGTTTGTTTTGGTCTAGTTTTGTTTGTTCTTGTGTGTTGTTTCTCTATATCCTACTTGAGTGAAATCAAGCATTGGATCATACATAATGACTAAGTGGGAATTACTTCAGAGATGAAAGAATGATTCACCATTGGCAAATCAATGCATTTCACCCCATCCACAAAAGGAAAGCTAAAAATCACATGATCATATCAGCAGATGCAGAGAAAGCATTGGATAAGATCCAACATCCATTTATGTCAAAATCTCCTAAAAACTGGGGATAGAAGGAACAAACCTCAACATAACAAGTGGCATGGATAACAAATCCACAGCTAATATCATATTCAATTGTGAAAAACTGAAAGCTTTTCCCCTAAGATCTCTTATAAGACAAGGATGTCCACTTTCACCACCACAACAGAAGTCCTACCTAGAACAATTAGATAAGAGAAAGATGCAAGAGGAACCCAAATTGGGAAAGAAGTAAAAACTATTATTATTTGCAGATGGCATGATAATATTTCTAGAAAACCCTAAAAGACTCACTGAAAAACTATCAGAAATAATGAATGAGTAAAGTCCCAGTCTACAAAATCAATATATAAGAATTGGTTCCTTTCCTCTACACAGTCAGTGAACTAGAAGAGAAAGAAGTCAAGAAAATATTTACAATCACATCAAAAAGAATACCTAGGAATAAATTTAACAAAAGAGGTAAAAGACATCAAAAACTATTTAAGACAGTGTTAAAAAACAGAATGCATGAGAAGTAGAAGGTTATCCTCTAATCGTGGGCTGGAAGAATTAACACTGTTAAAATGGCCACTTACCCTAAACCAATATTCAGACTCAATGCAATCCTTGTCAAGGTTTCAGTGGCATCCTTCAAGGAAACAGAACAAGCATTACTGAAATTTACATGGAATCATGAAAGTCCCCCAAAGTCAAAGGAACAGGGGACTCACGCTCCCAGACGCCAAACTGTACTACAAAGCTACTGTAATCACAACAGTATGGTATTGTCATATGGACAGACACAGAGATCAATGAAACAGAAGTGACAGCCAAGAAATAAAGTCACACTTATATACTTAATCTACAAGAAAAGAAGCCAAGAGTATGCCACTGGTTTGATTTTACTCATAGGAACTAGGAATCTTTCCTTTCCAGTCCACCTTAGGAAATATCCTGGCATATTCATAATGAATAATCCATTTAACAGTATGTAAAAGTTTTGTGAGCTTTTTTTAATCCAAATAACTTCAGTAAACAGCATTGTAGTGGAAATGCATCGTTTCATTACTTTACTGTATTTTTAATCATTCTAGAAATCCTTTAAATCCAAATAACTTCCAGTTTTGTGAGCTTTTAACAAGATTTTGAGAAACAGACTTTACTCATTTTACAACAGAGACAAAATTTCAGGTTTTAAAACAGGAACAACCAAGACTCACCATTCTGAGACTAAATTTATTTAGAATTTTTCTTGTCTTCTGTAGTAATACCAGAGGTCGACAACCCATTTTTACACTCCTATTAATATTATTCAATTTTACACTCCTATTAATAATATTTCTAATATCATGTTATATGTTTGTATACACAAGAAAAAGCCTCTGCTTTCTAAATAGAAAATCTTCAGCTTGATAATTTCCTTTTCTTTTAAACTGAGGTATAATTGACAGTACACAATTATGGCATAATTGATGTACAACATGGCTGGATATTTGTACATAATGTGAACACACATTAAGTCTAGTTAACAACTGCCACCACACAGTCATATTTTTTCCCTTGTGATGAGAACCCTTAAGATCCACTACCTTAGCAATTTCCAAGAATGCAATACAATTTTAGTAATTACAGTCACCATGCTGTATGTCACATACGCAGGACTTGTTTTATAGCTGGTAGTTTGTACTTTTTGATCTCCTTAACTCATTTTGCCCAACAGCACCCCACACCCCTCCTCTGGCAACCACCAATCTGCTCTTTGTTCTCTGTTATCTATGAGCTCATCTTTGGGTGTTTTATTTTTTTAAGATTCCACATATAAGTGAGGTCACATGGTATTTGTTTTTCTCTGTCTTATTTCACTTAGCATAATGCCCTCAAGAGCAATCCATGCTGCTGCAAACAAGGTTTCCCTTTTTTTAAAAAGGCTGAATGAGATCTGATGGTATGTAACACTATATTTTCTTTATCCACTAATCCACCGATGGAACTTGGGTTACTTCCACAACCTGGCTACTGTACATAATGTTGCTATAAATATGGGAGTGCATATATATATCCAGTTAGTGATTTTGTTTTCCTTTGGTAAATACCCAGAAAACAAGGGGATATTCACAGAGGGTAAACGAAGACAGCACAGACACTGAAACTTTATAAAATGAAGTATGACTATGTTAACAGTTTGGAAATCATTAGTGTGCTTTTCTCTCAAAAATACCACAGTGTGGGCCTCCCCAGTGGCACAGCGGTTGAGCCCTGGGTTGCAGGGCTGCCCGCAGCCCCTGCAGCACTGGTTTGATTCCCGGCTGCTCCCTGGCCACCGGAGGAGGGTCCCACATGGTGCGCAGACCTCTCCTGCCGCCCGCTGCTCCACTCGGCAGTGTACTTCGTTTTGGTCCTTCTGCCTGCTCTGCTCCCCGCTGACTCGGGTGAATTCTCTCACCCTCCCGCACTTCTGACTGTACCCAGTGCTTGTATAAATAAATAAATAAATCTTAAAAAAAACCAAAAAATAAAGGCTAAAAAAAAATACCACAGTGTCCCCCCTAACTGACTAGAAGCATACACAGTCTGTCTACGTCTGTCTACTCTCTCTGATGTCTGGATTATGTCAGCATCTCCTTTTGCTCTTTCCATCTTTCAACAACTGTGTAACCAATTTCCCCAATATTAAATCTCTACATACCTGGACACTGGCCAAAACCCTGTATTTTAAATTAAATAAAGATAAAAGTTTGGTTTTCATTTCTCTTAGTGTCTGGCATTGGCCAACAAGACCATTTTAAATTGAGGCAAAATAACCAAGATATACTTTTTCTGCTAACCTGAATTACAATGTGCATGAAATTTGCAATTTGACTATCTTTCACTTGTACTTTTTACAGCCTAGAACTTCATTTAGGATTAATGTTTCTTTGTCACAGTTCTGCTAATAAAATTTAACAATTCTGAGCAAGACAATCCCAGCATTTTAATGATCTTTTACAATCACTTTTCAGAAGAAATGTTTCAATAGTAACATTTTCCTGAAACTATAAATTGGCTTCCTTTTAAAGATGACGCCACGATATATTGTTTTTCATATAAATCAGATCAGCCTTCTAACAATTTTCCATTTACTTGAAATATGATGCCTGAGTGGATTTCTGTTACGATCACGCCCGCAGTGGTTGTCACCAGGATTTCTGTTCTCCTCTCAAATCTTACCCGCTGACCTAGAAAGCTTCCCTATGGCAGGATTACGACTATTGATTAAACTACAACTTCTTCCTCTAAAAAAGACTTACGACCTCTTGCTGGATCACACACAGTATAGGGACTTAAAAATCAAGGAAATTTATCTAGAGGAAAAGAGATTTAGAATGGGAAGGTAGAACTCAACCCACACAACTCTTGCAAGAGAATGATACATTGATATTTGGCTCCAAGTTTCTGATTTCCAACAGCCAAAAGGACAAAATTACCAACAGCCATACTGCACTAAAACAATAGTAATACATGCAAATAAAGTTGAAGAAGCTAATATTTTTCAGGTTATACAATTTGAGAACAATTTCTCCTCAAATTTTTGTATTTTGGAGACCTAAGAGTAGGACACAGAATCAGAATGGACAATATTATCAAAAATGTCCTTAAAACCCAGATAACTAGTTTTGCACAGCTTTTTCTTACAGTGACTTTTCATTCAAGTTGAAGGCAAAGGTCCAAGACGCAATGTAGTAAAGGCAATTTCTCTAAAAGTCAGTAATGAAAAATACCATAGCAATGAAATAAGTTTTCCTAATGTTAGGATTGACTCAGGGATAAAAAAATTCAAAGCTATTTATTGGGTTCTGTGAACTCCACACTACCATTTGATTAGCCTTTTGTGGTAATTATTTCTTGCACTTTGACTTGTTGATAACAGTTAGCCAGTGACAGGTATTGTGTTATCTGACAAATGCCTTGGAGGAGTTACTGGGTGTTACCTGATTGAAGTTCATGTATTTTAAAATCTCATATACTGCAAAAAATAAACACTTAAAAAATCCACTGAGTGAGGAGGGAAAGGTTAATGTGCCTGACTGAAAAGCAGGGTGCATCCAGAGGGCCCCAGCTGGAGGGGGCTTACTCCTCTGAGGCCAGGGGGTGCCTAGACAGTTTAAAGATTTTTCTCAGAAAACAGTTCTGGGTCTGCTCCAGGAAAAGGCAGGTCAATAAACACAGTTCCAAAGGTCCTCACAAAGACCATGACTTCGACAGTTTTTGCCTGAAAAACTTCCAAAGCAGAATTACCCACAGAAAAACCTGAGAGATTCACTATGGACTGCTCCCCTGACAGACAAGAATGACCGACATGCTGTTCGCTTACAGACGTAAACCAGGGAAATGTTGGAAGACATCTGCCAAAAATGTGAAAAGGTGTTTGAAGATAACTGACCTTAAACTCCTGTTACATGGAGGGAATACTGGGTACTGTGTATAAAAGCATTAGTGAAAGGTTCTCTTTTTAGCTTTTTTCTTCAAGGTTATAAAGTTGCGAATGATTTCTCTCAGCTTCCAAGTGTCTTAATAAGACAATTGGTAACTCGGTATGTGTGTAAAAGTCATGAAAAAGCTGTAAATGTTAGAATTTCTGAACAACCACGCAAGAAAGGCTGATCATTAAAGTGCTCACAGGCCTTCTACTATGTGTTCCAAGCACTGTCAAAGGCTGACCTCATGAAAGAAATGACCCATCCCCATAACTGCATATCTCCGTATTACAAGGCCAAGTTCTAGCTGATGTACGCTGGCATGCAGAGTGCTAGGAGGAGGTCAAGAGACATGACCACGGAGGGATGGGAGGAGGAAGGGGAAAGAAAGTTGGCACGTTCTAAAACTGAAATAAAAGCTGCCCCCCTTTAATTTCTCTTCAAAACACAGAGGGAAACAGTGTGATGTGAGCAAAGAAGACAAGAGCGAGCCATCATTTGCTCCATCTTCTCCCCAACTCCCATCTTCTGGGTGCTCCTGGGTGACAAATGTTAGCAGCTGATGCGTTCCTTTTCACGTTTTCCTACATGCTCGGTCCTTCATGAACCTGTGCAGAAGGAGGCCGACGCTGACTTCTTAATTGTTTCCGCACCACACACCTTAGGCTATGGTTACTTTTCGCCATTCTCACACCTCAGATCAGTTCCAGTTCCTCTTAAGTTGCTTAATAGTTCACCGTGTGAGTGTCTCCCTGAATACCAACACCCCATGCCAACTTCCAGACTGTGGCTGTCAATTTCAAAACCAAGTGAAAAAGAGACACCAGCATGTGTCCCAAGAAGAGAAGGCAAGGGGAGGCTTTCACATTGCTCTTGCATTTCACAAACTAATTCGACAAAGACTGACTGAAGTATTAACATTTCAGCGTGTTTTTAAATAGACATGTTTGTGTATTTATTTATTCCCTGCTTTGACCCCAGCAGCCAGGTGACCTGGAGACAATCACAAAAGGGAGGAAAGTCACCCCAAGCCAAACTAAACCAATGGATACAAGATGTAAAATAACAGATACTTAAGAAATGACAAAAAGTAAACAAAGAAGTGGAGTCAGTGGATCAGGAGATGACTGGCAAAGACTGGCCTCCTGGAAGGGTGGGAAGGTCAGACAGACAAGGAGCATCGCTTTGTTGCTGAGCAAAGTTCTGGGGCGCAGTGGAGGGCACTTGTGACAGTGAAGATGTGATATCATCAGCCTGCTGCTGGGAGGGCTGCCACTGAAGGGGCACCCTGCCGCCTCTTGATTCTCGCCAGGCAGGAGTTAGGAATCAGGACACTTCCCGGAGTGTGGTCATCCCTGAGGACCAGGGGACTCTAGAGACCGGGTACACTTGGCAAAAGTTAAAAGACAGGGGGCCCGGGAGCTTTGTCTCTGGGGAGACAACTGCACTTCAACCTGACACCAGTTTTTCCATTTCTGTGACTGAATTTCATTTGCCCAACGCTTTGGTTGAATATTATTTTATTTTGAGCGGACACGTTATGTAATTTTATGCTGGAAAATGGTTCAAATTGTTCTAATATAATTGTTCTAACTGTTCAAATTGTTCTAATATAAGTCCCTCCCCAAGAAAGCAGATTTTCTCTTTTCTCATCGAACACAAATACACAAAGTGACCTAAAGAGAAGACATCTGTCCGCAGCTGACATGTTCACTTCCTTTACAGTGGGAAGAGGAGGAATTGTAAATGATCCCGCCATCTAGCATGAGTCATTTAATTTGCTCAGCCCCCCATGAGTGGCGTTTGGCATAATGAGATCCGGGCGCAGGACAGTCAGTGACACTCACCTGGGCGTGGTGCAGTCAGGATGGGATGACACAGGCTCAGGGCTCCAGAAGGACTGACATCCAAGTACCGAATTATCTGGCTGGACGAAAGCAGCACTTGCAGATGAGTGGACAGGATAGCAGCCGGGTGACCTGGAAACAATCATAAAGGGAGGAAAGTCACCCCAAGGCAAACTAAACCAAATGCTGATTCTGCCCCAGAGAGGGGATGCTGGCTCAGGACCCTAGGTGACCTTGACAATCACTCCTGGGAGCTGGTCTCCGCATTCGGCGCATTAACAGCATTTTCGGTTTTATTCCTTCTAAGTGGTACAATCTGTGTGATGACATCTTCCTTCTTGTAAACAATAGGGGCTAAGCAGCAGAGTCCTTGCAGCCTTCCTATCTGGCTATAAGTGAAAGCGCTCATGGCATGTGTGTGACTGGGCATTCCTTCGGGGCAGAATCTCCACAGGAAACACTGGCACTCACACAATCCCCACCGGAGTGTATCTAGTCAACTGCTTGTGCACAGGGGGATTATTCTTATTTGATAATAAGCCCCTGAGGGCTGGAAACACCAGTCTTCATCTGCTGGCCCATGCGCCCATCCATGCACCCGTTGTGCCAAGTGCTGTGCCAAGGTCAGGTAGTCAGAGCTCACGTCTACCTGGGACAGGGGTTCCCAATCAGGCTGCAGACTCACCCCAGGGCTGGACGCTCCCCGCCCCAGGAAGTCTGACTTCATGGGGCTGGATCGTGCTGGGAACTGGCATGTACTTTCTGGGCTTTCAAGGTGATTCCAAGGCCAAACTGGGAACCACTGAGTCAAACAGTCAGGCTAATGCTGCGTTCTAAAATGTAGAAAATTGGGAGGGGGGGTTGTTGGCAAAAGTAAACACAGTCATAGTTTCTTCCCTTTTAGCCCTCACAGCACCCACCGCAAGGGCACAGGTCTTGCAGATTCGACGATTCCCACTAGGCTCCATCGCCTACTTCACCACTGCACACTGCACTGCAGGACAATTCCTTCATTCACTAGTTGAGTTTTAGTCAAGGTTAAAGAGAAAGTGGGGGTCTTTTTTGGCAGAAGTAATGAATTTAGTTGTTGCTACATTTAGCTTTATAGCTTTCAGATCACTGATGTTTTATGATGAAATCTAATTGACCTTTTTAATGGGCAAGAGCTTTTTTCCCTAACTTTGAAGAGGCTGATTTTTATTTTTGTGATACAATTTTTGTTTCGTTACTATCTAACTGTCCTTAATTTGTAAATTACACTTTATCATAGGCGTGCTATACAGGGATACCGCACAGTGAAGTACGCATGGCTTCGGCATCCATGGCCAGGCTGCTCATCAGCCTCCCCGAGGACAGTGAGAGGACCAGAAATCACGAGAGAGTGCCATAAATCCTGTATGAATGTACCTTGTGTGTCTACAACTGCAACTGCAACTCCCGTTAAGGTGGTCATGGAACTGTGACAGCAAACCCTGACTGGGGAACCTCGCCAGGGTCACGTCAGTGCTATCAGGTATGTGGGGGATCCATTCCTGCCCAGACACCCGCTCTGGAAATCACTCTTCTCGCTCAGGTTCAGACCAGTCGAATGCCCCCTCCTACAGGCACATGACCCCAGGCGCCCAGGCCAGATGGGTCAGAGTCCGGATGGGTTAGAGTCCAGCTCCAGCCACACTGGGCAAAGCCAGTTTTAAGGAAACCAATCATGAGGAGCAGGCACCGTGTGGGGGGACTGGAAACACTACTCAGAGAGCATCATTTCTACAGTGAAATTTGAGCAGTTTCAGAATAAAAGTGTGAAAAATCGTCAAGTAAGATTTGGCACTGGAAATGACAGAGTTTCTCACCTGTCTCACTGCGTGCCCTCAGCTAGAAGAGCTTCCCTGACTGGTTCCTCCGTCTGCAGGGGCCATGGCACAAAAGAGGAACGAGGGCGGGTGGAGGACAAGAGGGGTGTTAACTGCAGGGCAGGTGGTGTCCGTCCTGCTTTGTGTTTTTATTGCCACGTGTCCCACACTGGGCTCCATCTCTCCAGCCTGTGGATCTTTAAATTTCCCATTTAGTTTGCCCTGACTTAAGTTTGACTGCTTAAGTCAGATCAGGCTACCACTCTCTCTCGTACCCACTTCTCTGTGCTTGGGGGTGATGTCATGGCTCAGGCACAGGTTTCAGGAACTGCAGGAAGAGGCAGCAGGCAGGTCTGGTAGAGGAGGTGGACAGCTGGGGACACCCAGGAACGTGTGGGGTGCTGGTCACAGTGCTAACCTGGCCTAGAATGTGGTGTTTGAATTTTCCAAGAAGAAAAAACCAATTTGTGGCACCTGGGATGGAACAAAACAAATTAACCACCTCTGATTAGTTCCAGATTCGCAGATCTCCAAGGAATTAAAGTGTGGCAATGAAGCAATAGTGGGAGCTCCGCAAACTCACTACAAGTAGGGCAAGGCTTGCACCATCCCTGAAGATGGTCCATGGCTTTCCTGTAAACGTCTAGTACATTCCTCAGTACTGAGATGGCTGAAGGAAATGAGAACGGAGACACCCAAGAGGAAAGGACCAGCTTATGAAAGGACAGGAAAGGTTTTATCCTATGATTTTCAGTAAATGTTATTTTATTTAATAGTCTAAAATGGTATTTAGAGACTTAAAAGGCTTGGCCTCGCTGGCCTGACCAACTGGGGGGTACAGATTCACAGATTCCTCTATGAGAATGATTGCTGTCAATGGGCAGTGCTCACCCTAATCATGGCCAGCAGGGTTTAGGGCAGGCAACACAGAAGTGGTTGCAGAGACTCCAGGGACATGGCCCGAGCTGACTAAGGCCCAGGAGAGGACAAGAGAGGGAAGGAGATGCTGAGAAATGGAGAGGAGAGAGACAGCATTTCCCGGTGGCACCGAAGCCTGCGGCCTGTCCTGTTCCTGAAACAGCCTCCACCCCCGAACACCGGCTCAGAGAGGCAGGATGAAGCACACGTGTATCATCCAAAGGGGACGGAGCCTTGATCACTATTTAATTATGGAGTTGTGTGGCCCTGGCTTACATTCATTTAAGCCTCAGGTTCCTTCTCTGAAAGATGAGGACAATGAAAACCAAGGCAAGGTAACAGCAACATCTCACTGAGCACCTGCCAGGAGTTTCACAGCCATTTTCTCTGTTCTTCAAATCAACCTTATAAACTGAGGACTATTTTCTCACCTAATCCTGGCAGAATCTTGAGGAAGAAGTGAGTGACAAAGCAGATGCATAATATACCTGGAATCCCAATGAACAAGTGGTGAGACTGGGATGGGGCAGACGCAGTGGGCACCAGGCCTGGTCCTGGTTCCGGGCACGGCTCAGTGGGGCAGCTTCTCCGGGCAGGGTGAGGACTGAGCATGCCACGGCAAAGTCGGCAGCTCACAGACACCCCAGAGGTCAGTGCCCTTGCCCTTTACTCCCAGGACCCGGCCCTGCACAAACCCAGACCCTTCCCACCCGAGACCCCACGTGTGCACAGCTTGTGCACAGAGCGGCGGGCATGCTCTTAACGGAGCAAGCGTGGAGCAGCCCCGCAGGCGTGCTCCCGGCACTGACGTCCAGAGCCCTGGGGCACTTAGTTCTCATGTCTTTAAGGGACAACAAGGTCCTGTTTTTTCACTATACTTTGGGCACTGATATAAGGGGAGGGCCTAAATATTGGGTCTCTGGGGAAGGCAGGAGGTTAAAATGGGCACCGTGGGTCATGCCCCACAGGTAGGGGGAAAGCAGGGGCCTCTTGAGTGTGTTCAAGAGGCGGCCAAGAGCCACTGCTGAGAGCGCCCCCTTTGTCATGATCAGAATGAGCGGGGCAGCAGGACAGGGCTCAAGAGGCTTCATCGTGAGGACTGTGAACCTGGAGGCAGAGTCTTCGGGTGAAGCGTGAGTGTGGACATGAAGGAAGGAGGTACGTTGTAGCAAAGTTACCACTTAAGGCCCACTCCTTGGGTCAGCAGGCCCGCAGCAGCGGAATCTAATCTCCAAAGGGCCTTTGACCACATCCGCTAATCGTCTAGCCTGCGTGTCCGGAGGCCGTGTGTCAACTGACGTTCCTCAGAAAGGAACTTTGAACTATAATTTCAAACAAGCGATAGAAAGAGGAAAATAATCATCAAAGAGAAGCAGGTCATGAGGCAGGTAATGAGCCTGGGTACAGGCTGCCGAGGAGGGAAATGCACAGCAAATGCATTTCAGGAATTTGCAGCAGGGAGTGAACTGGGAGCTGACCTCTGGGGAGGCCCTCACTGAGACACACACTTTTCTGCTCCTCTATGCCTGTTTGCACCTCACTGAGTGGCAAACATGGTGTGTGCAGACAAAGATGCCAGAGTGACTACCTGGGGTGGCCGACTCCCACTCCCCAACCCTTGAGTGCTGCTCTGACCAGCAAAGGAGCTTGGCTGAACGTCTCCCCTTGGCCTTGCACCATCACACAAAAGCAAGAGCAACACAAATCAAACACAACACAAAAAACAAGAACCCCAACCAGACGGTGACTGACCTCCGTGACCTTATGGGAAACCAGTGTCTCAGAAACTCTCCCTGTGAGGCTGCGGCCAGTTTTGACGTGGCCCAGACACCCTGTTCAATTATGGCTGGCAGTAAATCCAGGGGTCTGGAGTGGGGACCTAATTGTGGGCCATAATGACTTGTGGGCCTTCCACATACCTGGGAGCTCTTGTCTGAAGAGCTCACCCCCTAAGGAGTCGTCCTTACCGATTTCTCACAAACTCTGTCTTTCTGGACTCAGGCAGTATGTGGTATCTTCAAGATCGTATTTCCTTTGAAATTTACATCTCGGCGGTCTCATAACTCAGCTTTACATCGCCCATCTTTCGTACCATAGGTTTTACACTGAAACTTCCAATTAAACATGCTGGGTTGAGGGAAGGAGGATTTGGTGATTATCATTTTATATTTACATATATTTTCTTAATCTTCTTTACTAACCACATATTTGTAAGAACTCATGTGGAAGTGCCACTCATTAATTTTCAGCTCTAAAATGTTCCACGGAAAGTAGACACATTTGTAACTGATCCCAGCTGTATACAGAAGGACTGCCTGAATAAACAAGGTGAAACAGTCTGAAGAAATACCTCCCTACCTGCTTTAA